GGCGAGGGTTATAACATGTTATAATAAGCCACTGCCCTGATTTTTTTTTCGAGCGCAACAGTTTCCAGCGCATAAAATGGTAAACGCCGAGGTCGTACACATTGACGACATTGACCAATGCACGGTATGGAATGACACCCAAAGGCCAGTCATCAGAGATCTGCTTTGGACATTCGGAGGCTTGTGTGGGGCCAGTGTAAAAACTGGATGTTCACACTTCAGTATCCGCTTTATTTCAGTTTTTACTATTAAAAAAGCAAAAATTAATGTTGGAAACTTTTGAGGGTTAGGACACTGATCATTAGTGGGGCCCCCCTCTGTCCAAAGGCTGACTGGCCGTTTTCACGACGGAATAGCAGGCATCTATTTGATCCCCATTTGATCCTTTGGTTCCTCAGGAATTTTAGTAGTTCTTTTTAGTAGGTTCCCCAGCTTTCGAATAAATAGTGCGTTAGTTTGCTAGTTTTCTATTAAATATCACATCGATTTACTTTATCTAAGGATTTATCACTAGTATCAACATAAAGCGTAAGCACAATTATAAAATTATGAAATGATTAAATACTAGTACAATAGTTAAAAAAAGATACTGAGTTGCCCGGCTACAAAGAATATATTCATTTATGGCGCACGACAGACATATAGAAAGCAGCGCCCTGTTTTATTGCAGGCTGCTAGCCGCTTCCATTGGGTTTTGCAGGCCGACGTCATTGTTCGTTACACGTATGATGTCACGCGACTTGTGGCCTGTCACGGCTCTTTAATAATCTCCACTAAATGAATGCAACAATGGCCTTTTAAGTTGATCTCTGTGGCCATCTGTCTATGGAGCAACCAATATGAAAGTTGGGTGAATTTACCGGGGTTACATGACTATGAGCAAGCAAATGTGTATCAGGAATGGATTTAGGTGGAGAATTGCGCTGGACCATGAGTGCTCGAACGCTCCCAATTCCACGCCGGTTTGGCTTTGGAGCCGAGACAGACGATGCGGGTCAAGGTCACCGCTGGGGTAACGGTGGATTGGCTGCGCCCGAGCACCCGTAACGCGGCACAATTCTCCATCTATGGATTTTCCTATTCGCTCAGCATTGTGATAGGCGTTCGTAATAGCATTTACTCTGCTCATGTTCCTATCCCCGGTTATTTAAAAGAAGTTTTTGTGGGGGAATATCACGGCTTTAGGTACTCGGTGGCCCTATTCACGACTTTCAAAGAATGCTCCGATAACTAAACACCGCACAGACCTACTGCATTAGTGAATCTGACAGAAGGTCTGTGGAATTACATCCCCCCTCACCACACCCCTAAAAACTCATCCAGTGTCCAAAACCACTTTTATCGACTCGCCAAAAAAAAAACACACACACACATACACACACAAAGCATGGGGCATGTCAGCTCTCAGTTCATTTATCATTGTCTTTACCATGGTTCAATTGCATTGCGCGATTTAAAGCACGTGAGTGCCTATATAGTACATATGTAGAAAATAATATCTACAGCAAAACATCCAAAATTACAAAGGCTACAATGCTTAAAAAGTAGGTTCATCAAGGAAGCCCATTTTTACTTGCGTTGTGTTGCCAACCATGCGATTCCAACGCGGGCTATTCGCAACGTCTGTTAACCCTCGCCGGCCGAGGGGGGGGGCGGGTGCCGCCCCCCCTTAGGGTTTTTTCGCGATAGCTCCGAACACGCTGGCGATAGAGAGCTGAAACTTGGCATACCTGACCTTTGATCCAAGCCGGATCTTTTGACACCAACCGCATTTTTGGGTCAGGTCAGGTCACTGACCTATGACGTCATAAGTGAACCTCTGCACGGTCTTCAGATGTCGCAACTTCGCAACGCCCTCACTGCCAGAGGAGATGTCACAGGGAAATGAAACTTGCAGGATCTAGTATCCATTATGAGTCCCACAACTTGTATATCTCGGATTTTTCCTAAAGGTCATATGAGGTCAGGTCATTTTCGTGACCTCACCATTATAAGTCAATGGGGAAAAATTCAAACTGCTATTCTGGCGCCGGGAACGATCTCCAACTATCTCAAGCACACAGAATCGTGATTTGATGCACTCCTTGCAAGGTTAGATGCGTCACTTTTGCAATGTTGACCTTGCGTGACGTCATTTATGACGTCATCAAGGTCATATTAGTTTTTCGTCAATAACTCTTGATCAAATTGAGCTAGCGAGTCGGGAAAGCCACCAATGGACTCAGGAAGACCTGCCGAATCGAATGATATGCGACATGACCCCTTTCGACCAACTTCGTGACCTGGGGGTGCTGACCTGACCTTGACCTGAGGTCAACACCCCAAATTGACCTGACCCGGACAAAAAGTATATCATTCGACGCGCCTGAGCGAGACGAACACGATGCTGCCAAAATCGGCGCTCTGCGGCCGTTTTTTGCGAAGTTATTCACCAAAAACTGAACCGTACCTTGGGGCACTTGACCTGACCTCAGAGGTCACTGGTTGACCTAGGACCTTAAAATCGGGTACCAATCTCTGCGTCTCGTAACGGCGCACACGCTCGTTTTTTCCGCGACGCGCTAGCTCCACCAGGGGCGAAACGGCGAGGGGGGGGTCGTACCCGCCCCCCCCCCTCGGCCGGCGCGTATGTAGAAAACCAATAGGTCCGGCGAGGGTTAAGGCACGTTAACAACTGACAAGCCGCCACCGCTGCCACTTATTCATATATGGTTGATATCGCAGCTTGGGCGTCAGCAGCGCGGCCCACAACGCGTCGGCGCCAGCGCACGCAGCTGTTGGCACTCGGCAGCCGGTGTTGCGACTTAACGGCCGGCCGGCCCCATGAAGGAGAAGCTCTTGGTGAAGCTTTGTGATCGCCTCATAGCCGCCTTGGATGTCATCTTTCTTGGCAGATCCATCCGTTCAGATGGTACGGTGCAGTCTGGATAAAGGACGAAGTCCAACGCCGCTAACCCCGCGACCGCCACCCCACAACGTGGCCGCAGACCGAACGGGCGTGAGGGCCGTAAGGGCCACCCCGCCATCCGGTAGGTGGCTGAGCAGCCGCGATAGGCGTTATCACAAGTGTATTCGCGGCCATTGGGGCGACGTAAGAAAAGAAGAAAACAACTGGCCCCAAGAACTTTAAATTATCAGTTAGCATGCACATTTTCCTTGATATGTAGAGAATTTACCATTAATTGTTAGAGAAAATTGCATTTAAAATCTTCCATTTATACTTTTTTCATCGTTTGCACAGTATATTCTTTTACTTAGCTAGAAACACTAATTAGAAATAGTTCCCGCATCATCAAGAACAATAGGGAAGGCTTGAAGTGAATACAATAATCTAAACGGTTTTGTAATCCATGTGAAGACACTTCTAAAATTGCCTGTAGAAATATTAAAGGCAAAAGTTCAACTTTTTCACAAGACGGATGGCTATAAACCTATTCAACGTGTGACAACTCAGCCGGTATTTCGTCGCCTACAGCCAAGCTTTCCCTAGTGACCGATAGAGGCGCTGCTATCGATGTCCGCCCGTGCCGTCTAACGCGCCTGGGCGGCGGCCGCGCTGAGATGAAGTCCCAAACCGCCATGTCGCCATCACCGCCATCACCATTGCTGCAGCTGTTCCCAACCGCCTCAATCGCCGCCGTTTTGCCAGCAGTCGCGCCGCGGAATGGCAGAAGCTCCAGAGTAGCCTCCAGCGCCCCTCTCCGCACGTGTGCAGGTGCACTGCGGCCGCCGGGTCCGACGTCCAGGCAGAACATGATATTTCCATGCTGCTCCGACGGTGGGCTGGTCTTGTTTGGGCGTTCCTCCACTGTGACGTCGGTCACGCCTGCCCCGGCCAGGGCGCAGAGGCCGACGTGTCACCATCCGGTTGCGGTCCTCAGTCGGGTCGCAACGTGTACCTCTTCCGCAGCGTGGAGCGCGCTCCCGCTGGGCAGCGATACAGCCAAAAGTAGCATGCGGGCGGCCAGCGCTGCGCCGGACAGCGGCCCATGCCGGGGGTATGCCGGTCTCGGCCATTAGCGGGGTCGTCGGGGCCGAGGCTGTACATACAGCTGGTGACCGCGTGAGCCGCCAATCGAAGCTCACGGCTTATAAGCTCGACGCGGGCATCACACGCCGTCCCGATGGGAGCTCCACGACGCCGCCGCGAACTCCAGCGCGGCTCGCAGCGCGAAGATCAGTACGGACGGCCGGGGCAAACGGCGTGCGGGAGTCGCAGGCGACGTTCTGCGGACAGAAAGGGTTGGGCATAAGCTGGTCGGCAGGACACTCTTGAGCCGAGCCTTCGATGTAATTACAGATGATCCAGAAGCATGCACACAAATTCATGACACAGTATTCTCATTTATGTATTTGCTACATATGATATGATATACCAGCTCATGATCAGTGACGCATTCTGGGCAATATGTTCTAAAGTGAAGTAACTGAAGTTACAGCTTAAAAGCTTAAAAAACAGCTTAAACAGCTTTTATGGAAACTGCTCTAGCTAGCTTAAAGTTCCACAACGTTTCCGGAGCACCGTACCCAAACTCAGTTCATGTTACAAGAAAAAACAGTAATAATGCCTCCTAATTTTGAATGAAATATAGGTATGAGTAATTTGATTTGGAAAGCAACAGATTTCCGCACATCATTTTAGCAAAATTACTATTTTCTTCAGCCATCAGGTTACACAAAACTATAGTAAACTTTATGATCTAGTTTACACAAAACCAAAGCCCCGATTTTAACAAATGTATATTAAATTTAAACAATTTTAGAAAAATGTATCGTGGAGAAAATGAAAAGTGTAGATTTGTAAAGCCGGGATATTTCACGGATTAGGCACTTAAAGAAATATCTTCACCTTTCTTTGAGCCACCAGCCTTCACCCAAGTTTTACACGAATGTAGTGAAGCAGACAATGTGGCAACTCAAAATTGTGATGGTTTGAGATAATTATGACGGTAAAAGAAAAAGCAACACAAGGTCCTTACCCTCTTTTTTTTCACATGCACTGAAAACAAGTCGACTCGCCGTTGGTGGGTGAATCCGTGCCATAGGAGTGGTGCCACACGTGTTCACTCTTTGTAACCGGGTTGATACTTGCGGGTTGGGAAAGTATCAGGTAAAACACTCGACTATTATTCATACTACCCGCTTTTTGCAATGAAAGACCCTTCGAATGCGTTGTTGTAATCAGCGACAAGCGGGTTAAGAAATGACTCGCGATCGGAGAGTGAACAGTACACGCATTGGGCGTCACCATTACCCGCCGACACGGGATACACTCACATATTTGCAGGAAGTATCCGCCTGGCCCGTTATCTGTACCCGCCGCCGAACATCCGCGGGACTAAAAGTCCCGGATGTTCCCGGATGTTAGGGTACTCTTGGATGCCGGGTACAGTACCCTGACGTGGAAGATTTGCGGCCGAGTAACGCCAACGGTCGGGCACAACGGTCGCCATATTACCGCGCGCGGTGCCTTGGGAGTGTTGGGTCCGCTGCGTCTGCTGACGCTACAGTGCTCGGCTTTTATCTGAAGACGGTGAGTAATCATGCATTGTGATGGGACCAATATGATTATGATGAAATATTTATTTGTGTGGGTGGGATGCATTTTATCAGCTATCTAATACTGAGCTTATGTTAGTTACTTGCAGTTACTTGCACATGTTTGGTAGGTACGTACCTACCTACATTTTATGCTTGTGCTACTTGCTGGCAACCATTCATTTTTTGTGCAAGGTATTTCAGTGTTACCACAACTTGTCACCCATTTAAGATATTTTGCACCTGGTTGAGGGGGACATGGAAGTGCAAGTGATACATGCTATTCAAATCCAAAGTCTTCAGTGTTGGAATTTGACCATTTTCTGCTGAATAATTTTGCTCTCCAACCAAATATTCGCCTTTCAATAAATTATTCACAATGAATGATTAAGTTTTTTTGTGATTTACCTTCTCCTTGATTTCAATGTAAGTTTTTGTACACAATCTTAGCATAAAGAAATCACAGTTAATATTTTTCCTAGATGGATAAGGCCATTTTTGAAAAGCATGCTCTGCACGTCTTTTATCAACAATTTGAAAAATAAAGAAGCAGAGGCGTAGGAACATCACAAAAGTTGGGGGGGGGGGGCGAACAGTTTCAGCGAAACTTTGGGTCTTATTTTAAGGTGAACCCAAGTTCAACCCACCCACCCAACACGCACACCAACTTTCTCTGCATTTTTGGACTCATCTCAACCTGAGGAATCAATCACTGCATTTGGTTTTGAAGAAATGTAAATTTTAGGAAATTTTTGGGCTAAATGTTAGGGGCCATTGCTGCTCTGCCCTCCCTGTTCCTATGCCTATGTAAGGGAGTAATGATTTGTGTTCACGAAAGTAGCCCAATGGTCTTGGCCGGTGGCCCTGTTCAGTAAGATGCATAATAATAGCGGCTAAGTGAATATCAAGTAAAACTGAAATAGCATAATGTTTCAAACGGGTATGCTTGGGGCAACATATAGTGATATTCAACGAACCCCGACTGGACTGGGCTCAGTTTATAGACTCGACTCGACTGGGCTGGGCTGTGAGTTGGCGGACAGTGACAAACGCTTCTCACTGTCTCAGTGTACACTACCTCGGATAAAAAGATCAATTTTTTTTAGTAGTCAACGCCAAAGCTAGCAGATGACTGTCCACTAGGTAGCTATTCGTGAAGTTCCCATCTTCTTCTTTGTGGGTTAAGGCGCATAGCCATCAGGCGTGAAGTTCCCAGAGTATATAGAGCTCCAACGTTCCTACGCCTTTGCATTAATTTGCAATAAATATTCGTCTGTCTTTGAACCTGGCATGAAAGTTCAAATATTCACTCAAAGACACAGTAGTCTTTGAACCCGGCATGGAAGTTGAAAGATTCACTCACAGACACAGTAGGAACTTATAACTCACGCACCTAAAATTGAAATGAATGCAACTGAAATAAGCAGATTTTCTGTGAAAATGTTTGTTACTCACAACCAGACTTGTGCCTGGGCCAAAAATCAGGATCCAAGATCCACTGGTCACTGGATCCCACACAAAATCAGAATTTTAGGATCCAAGATCCCCCTGGGGCCTGGATCCCATGCAAAGTCAGAATTTAAGGATCCAAGATCCCCTGGATTCCACACAAAAACTAGAATTTTAGGATCCAAGATCCCCTGGATCCCATGCAAAATCAGAATTTCAGGATCCAAGATATCCTGGATCCCACGCAAAATGGGAAATTTTAAGATCCAAGATCCCCTGGATCCCATGCAAAATCAGAATACCTGGATCTTGCGCGAAACAAAATTTAGGATCCAAGATCCTCTGGATCCCACGCAAAGTCAGAACCTTAAGATCCAAGATCCCCTGGATCCCACGCAACATCAAGACTTCAGAAAAACCAAAATACCTTGCATTTTGCACAAAATCAAGCCTTGAAGGTGATAAAATCAATCATAGATGAATGATGATGACTAGCATGAATCTGTCCTGCTCCACTTTTTTATTACCAAACTGATAACTGTCTGGTTGTGGTGGACCCTGTCCATTGTCATTACATGACAGCTAAAAAATTGATGGTGACTTAGGCTCATTTCTTATTTCATCTGTTTCCTTGTGGAATGTTTTGGTAAGTATATGTCTATGTTGGTATGTCAAAACTTAAGGAACCAAAATTCCTTGGATTTTGCACAAAAACTAGCCTTAGAGGTGATGAAGTCAATCATTGATGTAAAGAAGCATGACTATTTATTCTGGTCTCCCTTTTTATCATTGAACTGATAACTGTTTGGATGTGGTGGGCCTTGTCAATTGTTATTACATGACAGGTCAGAAATTATTATGGCAGTTCCTTATTACCATCTGTTTACTTGTGGCATGTTTTGTTAAGTATCTGTCTATGCTGATACGATTCAAGTTAAATCTAGCATAATCAGGTTGTGCAGCAGGCTCCAAAAGCCTGTGGGCATAAAGTTAAACTCACATTGTTAATATTATGCCTCAACAAAATCAGAAGCTATTTTAAGGAAAGGAACATGATTTGACAATCACCAAAATGCCAGACTCGCAGCACCTGCCTCTGCCTGTCCTATGAAGGATTGGAATGGATGGTCTTCCTTGGTCCTAATGAGGCTAAACAATATGTTGCTTTTCATATATAGGGTGTTCCTTCCTTTTTCCCTCACCTGGCACGCTTCCAGACAAAACCTGCAATGAAGTTTGCTAGTCATTACACAACAAAAAGCTTCTAGATCTATTGTTGTTGAATACTAAATGATTTTAATCTCTGAAAGCAAAACTGGAGCCAATAATTCAATCGCTGCATGCTAAATTCAGCTGATGTATATAACCTTCAATCAGCAGCTGTGATGTTGGCACTGTAAACAAAAGTCACTCCTCGAAAATGGCATGGACGCAAAGAAAATATTTGCTTTATAATACTTTGCCATAAACTTATAAGACTAAAATCAAGGACGTCATTGGAGTACCGTGTACTGATTGGTATGCCTGTTGGATTACCCATCTCTTCGGACTACCACACCTTGCGTTAGACCCCTTGTACCTGTGACGTCATATTAATACCCACCTCGACTTTGTGATAATACATAGCCTATGCTATAGATGGCCTTGACATTTTACAATCGGAGGTTGGTGCACGGCGGTGGTGACCGTCTCTCAATATACCCTGGTGGTGACCTTGCCTATGTTTACTTTCGGGTGGCAATTTTCCCTGCACTTTATACTTTCCAGTACCTTCCTGTTGATGCGCCGCGTACGCCCCTAATGTCAGCCCTGTGACTCTATTGCCTTGCTGGTATTCTATTGCCTTGCTGTGACTAAAATTTGGTAAGTAAATTTGGTAATAAGATCATGAACGGAGGAATTTATTGACCCGTGGAATCAGTATATTTCGCCAATCGCCGATGGTTTATGCCAGTCTCAAACAGAGCACGGGGTGATAAGTTATCACCCCGTGCTAGTTATCACTGATAACTAGTAATCGACGATTAAAATTAATCTACAGTTTAACATTAATCTACAGTTTAACGATCGACGAAATTATGCATTGCCTTGATAAAGAAATACCTTCGTCCATGATCACAGGACTTCTCATGGTCACAGGGCTGCCATGTGAGAGGCATACATTAACTTTTTTGGGGTTTTGGGCAGAATGCTATTTTTTCGAGAAAATATTTTGTTGGAAAATTGAAACATTATGCTTAGCATGAAAGTTCTTCATCAGTCTTTCGTCAGTCAACACTTCATAGAATCACAGAGGTTAGTTCAGCTATGACTTGTGAGTAAACTATGGCCTTTGAGAACTCTAGATCTGAGGACTTGTCATCTGAGTGAGTTCTTAATTGTTAATTGTTCAAGTGTAATGTCATATGCTCATATGGTAGATCAAAAGTTGAATCTGAGGCCCAAGCCTAATGATAAAAACCAGAGTAAATTTTAGGTTCATTGAGCATAATAGCCAAATGACATAATGAACAATGATCCTAGTAAAATGTAGCATCCATGATCATCAGAACAACAAGATGAACAGTCCTTGCTTATGATATTTCCTACATTGTGGCTTCTCTTATTGCTATTTGCAAAGCAAAATAGATCTTAAATCATTCATGATCATTCAGTCATAACATATTCAGTAGGTAGCCAGTGCCAGGCTATTGGTTATCAATCCCACAACCAACCTCATGAGTTAGAACTCAGTCACTCACTCTCAATAATACTATCTCAATATTTGGATGGTACTGCTGACACTTCATTCAGTATACTCACTACTAAGTGCTTGGCAGTAAGTAGTTAACACTGAAGTAACAACATGTACCATCAAGGTACATGTGAGGGTGTATGCACATAATCTAACATCCAATTGCAACTTAGAATATAGCATCCAATGCCAAATATCACCTAAACCTTCAACTGAGGAGCACACACAGAAATTTTGAGCGGAAAAACGGTGTAATTGAAAGTACCAAAAGGAACATTTTTTTGGTGTAAAATTACTCTGTTT